AGCCATTATACTAAGAATAAGCTTCGGGTTGGTGAGGATGGTGTTTATGGGGAGAAGACATACCTTTTTATAGGTGAAGTTTCACCGCCTAGAAGGAAGAAGTATTGAATGAGAATCGTGGATCCAGGGATTTAAGAATGCTATTAATGGCGATTAACCAATTAATCCCGTAACGTATCGGAGGCGATGGATCTGAGACGAAACGCCATGAAAGATACCAAGATAGAGATTTTCGGAATCATTATTTGACACAGACAACCTCCTAACACCTCCATCAGAGCTCGACCAAACAGCACTACCAAGAACCCTAGTTTCCATTGTTAGAACAACGTTAGAACGACGACGACTGACGTATATTAGGTTTTCTGGTGAGCAAAATTTTGTGTTTCATAGCCCACAAAAGAGTAAAATGTTGAAGCCCATTATCATAAAACAAAATGAAATCATTAAATAGTCGTTGAAGCCCAGTTAACAAACACGAAATGAGAGTAGCGGAACTCTAATAAAAAAGAAGACACGCGTCAGATTCTCTTTCCTTCAATTAGTGACGTGGAACATCCTAGAGGGAGGCAACAATTCTTTATAATAATAGATATATGTGTCGAATTCATTGTTTAATAGGGTTTGAAGCAACGAAGCTCATTCCAACAAAGACTAACTTGGTAAGTACTGACTAAATTCAAAAGTATCTTCGATATTCATACTTTGATCGATTTGAAGGTTGTATCTTATATATTAAAACAGAAGTCATGACTTGACTTCATGTGTGATTTTTTAAAATATAGACTATTACTAGAAAGTTAAATTACATTAACTCTCTAATAATCTTATCATTATTATATCTTATGCAAAATCATATCTATAATAACAAAGATACGCTTAACAATTTGGTTTTGATAAATTAACTCACACCTTCCAACTTAGTCACACAAAATATGTCAATAGATATAAGTTTATGAATCTTCTATTATTTATAAGGAAATATGTCAGTAGTAGTTAAATACATCCACAATATATTAACAAAAATCACATATTCGTAATATCGAATATTTATATACCCTAACAAAATTTACACGCTATATATACTAGATAAATTTATTTTGATGTAAATTTTAAAAATTATATTTTTTTTTAAAATGAAATTCTTTAAAAATTTATTTTTTAATAAAATTCTTTATAATATTAATTTATGAAGCTATAAGTTTAGTTTTTAGTAAAAAATTCTTCGGAATTTATATTATTTTTGCAAATTAAAGTATACTAATATTTAATCAAGGTCTATTTATATTACTTTAACTAAAAATGAAATACTAATCTAACAAACAACAAAATATAGAACAAGAAACAAACACATGTTTAAAAAACATGTATAATATAGAAATTTTGAAACAATCTATTTGATTAAAACACATATTATATAATATTATTATGTTTGAAAAACATTTACTATACATATCGTTAATATGTGATTACATGATATATACCAATTTACAAGTGAAAACAAAATATTTATATAATTAACTATAAACGAAAAAAAATAACCGCGCGGTTGCGCGGGTCAAAATCTAGTTCAATATTAAATCGAATAGAATGCCAAGGATATAGTAACATCTTGTTTCTCTTTTCTGTTTTCAGTTTTAGATATTTTATAGTGAGAACAATAAAAGAAACAATTTAGGGACTGTTAGTTTCTCTCAAAATTGTATAAAGTCTATTATATCCTTAACAATTCACAAATTACAAATTTAAATCTAATATCATTTTGTCATTCACAAAGAATGAAAAATTACAAAAACGTATTTTTTCACCAAAACCGCAAAGTCATATTTTTCCATCAAAACTACAAAACACAGACCAAAACAGATTTTTCTTCAAAGACGCACGTTCCCACCAAAAAAAATATATTTTGCCAAAACCATAAAAACACACTTTCACATCAAAGACACATTTTTCCCATCAAAAACGCCAAAACGCACTTTCCTGCTAAAACCAAACAACGCAATTTCCCGTCAAAACCATAAATACGCGTTTTCTCGCCAAAACTTAAAAACATGTTTTCCTACGAAAACCGAAACCGCGTTTTTTCGCCAAAACAGAAAAATATGTTTTTTCCTCATAACCAAAAATATGTTTTCCCGCTAAAACCAAAATTGCATTTTCTCGCCAAAACCAAACAAACGCGTTTTCCCACTAAAACCAAAAACATGTTTCCCGCTGAATCAAAAATGTGTTTTCTCTGTTAAAAATATATTTTCCGCCAAAACCGTGAAAACGTGTTTCCCACTAAAATGTTTTTTTCGCAAAACGTGTTTTATCGCTAAAAACACAAAACCATATTTTGCCGCCAAAACGTGTTTTCCCGCCAAAATTACCAAAAACTTTTTTTACCGTCAAATCCGCAAAGCACGTTTTTCCGTCAAAACCATAAAATCACGTTTTTCCTCCAAGATCACAAAAAACGCGATTTTCCGCCAAAACTGAACACACCAAAATGTCAAAATACTAATTTTAAAATAATTTCAGTATATATATAGTTTAGACTAAATAATAAAAAAATATAGTTAAAATTAATATGTAACATATGATTAGATAAAAATAAAAATATGTATTTGTAATTTGTTTATTAAACTCATCATGATTGAAATAAAAAAAAATAAACGAACATCCCCTTACTATAACGTTTGGTGAAATGGTTGTTTTTGACTCAATATAAAGAAAAGGGACTAGAAAAGAAAAACTAGCGTTTTCGGCAAAATTCAAAATTACCGTTACTGTGAACGCGAACAAGGGAGTGTTTGTCGCTGTACGCTTTCTCTGCCACACTGACATTCAACATTTTGTTCACCAAAAACGTTCAGTCTAAATTTTGTGATCTCTTTGTTAGTTTCAAGGAAACTTAAGACACCCAATAATGTTTCGGATGTCTAACAGAATAATCACAAAAGTTTACAGTAAGTAGTAAATATTGTTTGCAAACACATTTGAAAGTTAATGTTTCATTTCTAAAAAGTTAACTAATTTCTCAAACAAGTCTGCAAGGAGGAAGAGTGAGAGAAACTGAGAGGAAACTAAAAGCACACTTGTTTATGGTCTATCTCTTCGTGCTCTAGCTATTTGTATCCGTCGATGAGAGTCGTGTGTCCCCCCCTTGTTTGTACTTCTGATCATGTATTGCCAATTTCACTTATAACAATAGTCACAGCAGCAATACGCATAGGCTGTGTTATTTGTACCATCTCTCCTTCCTAACAGAACCCAGCACTGAATAGAAACAAGGCAACTCTCTACATTATAAAAAAAAAAATGAATATTTTTTTGGTACATTCACTTAAATGTTCTCCCAGAGAATAATCAACAGACATTAAAAAACTTATGAACATAGTTCTTCCAATGCATTAAGTCGCAAGTGTCAATTATACGTACGAGTTAAAGCTTTTTTTACTTTCTTTAGGTACATGATTTGATACCATACAGTTTTATTATGTAGTACTTGGGTCATAGAAATTAAGATGAATGAGCTGTTTTTTTTTGTTCATCTCAAGTTTCATTGATTCAAACTAAGGAGGGATACAAAGTTGGATTACAAAGGCTGGCGGAAAAATTAGGAATCTCCGGAAACATAAGCCCCCACATGGGAAACTAAACTGAAATTTTTTTATCACCTTACACAAGCTAAACTACAAACAAACAGTATTTTCGGAAGAGAAAAGAGAAAGACAATGCTGAGATATATGGGAGGAATCCTGTTGCATCAATTTAAATGTTAAAAAGAAAGTGGAAAAGCTTGCTGATCATAACAGTAAGATGAAAACAACAAGCACCATTTTTACCGCTGACAAAAAAAAAAGGACCATCTTTACCAAAAAAATCACAAACAACAAGGACCACGGGTTTTCAAGTACGATATCTATAACTGTAACCAAAACAAATTAGAGAGACTAGAGTAGAGGTAAGTAAAATATTAGGGATCAGCGGTTTGATCCGTCTAACAATATTAGATATCCGGGAGGCCGGAACCTGATTAAGATAGCTACGTCCATAGGGGCACACAGCTGGCCTGGTTTTCTTGGGAACACAACCTGGTTGTAAACGGACCAAATTTTCGACAAAGGGAGAGATAACAGAAATATCTGAAGAGAGGCGAGAGATTATGTCTGTCTGAGGATCATATATGAAAAATCTCTTCTTGGTGTCATAGAAGAGAAGACTCCCTTCCTTAGTAACAGCCAAGGGGATGAAGATCGTATAGTATTCATTCGCACTGAAATAACTCTATATTGG